GGGGGGGTGGGGGTGGGGGTGGGCTGGGTGTTTTTTTCCAAGAAAAGCAGGGACACTGTGCTGTAGAAAGATGATTAATAAAAAAGATGTGCAAATGATCTTAATTTCTTGCTACATTCTATTACAGTGTCTGCTGTTTGTATGGTAAGTAGAATTTCTGATCTGAGGAAAACTTACTCAGTATGAGCATGAAGACTCCAGAGAAGAGATGTTGGCTATGTGTTAAAATTGAGACAAACCCACAGGACTTTGGTGTCTTAAAAGAGAACTCATCCTTTTGGTTCCAATTCAACTGACTGACATTTCTGAATGAGAAAACACATCAGTTTATGTGGGGCAAAACTGACTGCAGTGAGTGACACTGCAAATGAGTGCAGTGATCTCGGCACTGAACAACAACTGTCTACTACCAGAAGTATTTCCCCTTTATACAGATAATACAGATGTTCCCAACAGAAGGAGCTGTTAAATAAATTATCCTTTCATACACAGCAGCACATTAAAACAGCATTAAAAAAAAAGTTTTATGCCTTACTCATGCCATCATTAACCAGCTGTATTTTTTTATATTAAAGTGAAAAACTGAAATGCGTAACACAAAGTGGGGACAGTTAGAGAACCACACTGGTCGTGACAATCCTGGAAAGGTGCTAAACTTGCCCCTTGCAAGGAAACACACAATATGGTGAACTTGGGCTACACAGGCAGCAGGGAAATGATCAGGACTTGATGCAGCACATTTTTTATTGTAGAGGATGTTCTCGGTTGGTACCAGTGTCATTGCAGCTGTTTTTCTTTACTGGGCAAAACCCCTAGATTACCTTTCATAGAGTAAGTTATGAATAGAAGCATTATAGAAGAGAAAGGTTTTGTTCTTCTGAACACAAAGGGACATATAGTAAATCATACCGACGGTCTTCTCAAACTATTTTTTAGAATGTTTTGTGCTAAAAATAACTACAGTAATGTTCCAAGAAACCAGAATTTTAGAAAAAACTACTTTTAATAAGCAGCAGCCAGTAGTGTGCATCATGCCAGTTCCTTTAAAAAACACCAAAGTTACCCATGTGACCAAAAACCTCTATTGTCAACTGAGGCGCTTACTCTTGCCTCCAACGGCTTGCACGTGACAAACTTCTACTGCAGCACCCAGCTTCTTCAGTTCACTCAGCCAGATTATCTGCTTGTGGGACAGGCGATCATTGGGACCTTTCACTTCCACCAGCTACAAAGAAATGTGGATGATTAGTAGCATGCCTGTGGAGGAACGGGAAGATCATTAGCTCCCATGGACTAATGCAAGTATTCTTTTATGGCTGTTATTTGCAACAAAAATAACAGAGATTTAGCACAATGGAAGGCCCAGTGGGTGCTAAATTATTAACCCGTCTTCCAAAGTTTAACTGTAAGAGAATGAAATTTTATGTACTAAATATCCACCAAAACAGACAGAGGCACTGGTGACTGAAGATAACCAAGTACTCAAAAATCAATCCTCTGCAACCTCACCTGTTCCAGCTGATGCTGACAGCAACTTACTCAGATGTTCTAGAGAACCAATTTCTGCTATTCAGCTCTGTTTCAGAAATGCATAACAAGTTGCTCCAGCAGCTGAGATGTCCAATAGTCTAGTACCTATTCCACTACCATGCAAGACAGAAACCATGATTGTTTACTCAATTTTTTTGTAGCAGACGCAGTTGTTGTAATCTTCTATATTCAAGTTTTTGTGTCAGTGGTGACATTAGCACCCCTTCCTTGCTAACAACAGTCAGAATGTGTATTACTGACAGCTGCTTTACAGTAATTTTAATCGAAGCCCTGCTCTCCAACAATACCTAGCCACCTCTTGCCGGTTCTCATTACGCCTATCAAAGCTACAGCAAAATGTGATGAAATGGCAGATAAACAATCACCTGTTACTTGCCATAGTTGCTAGGCAAATGAGCAGCAGGTTTAACTCCACCACAACAGGAAAATACAGTTTGTACGGGCTGACAACTGGAAGGTCTTACACCTAAGGTTAAGATCAATTGAGCAGAGTATTTCCATGATCTCCCAATATACCTTAAAGTGATTAGTGTGAGTACGCCACACAACCAGGTCAGGAAGTCCCCCTCTGCAATGGCGTAGATCTTTGGAAAGTCGCCTAAAAACACCACTCAGAAACATCCCTCCAAGGCAAGAGACAAGGTTCTGTAAGAGAAGATTTGGTAGTTGGCTTCCCCCACAATTCCTGTACAGCTACTTCCCAACTCTCACAAGAATATTCTATGGCCCATCTCAGTTTTTTTGTTTAGTCACATGTAACAAGAAACTTAAGTAGATGTTACCTACAGCAATTTCCCTGCTGTGTTTCCCAACTACTGTTACAGCAAAAGTGACCACATCAGAAAAGAGTAACAGTACTTGGGATGAGGGAGAATTGTGCTGAAGTCCCCACTCAGCTCCTCCCTCCCACCACTCGCCATCAGCCGTGGCTCAGTGCCTCAGGTACAAACTGGGAGCACGCTACAGCCGTGTGTGATTTAATGGCAAGCCTAATCAAACGGAGTGCCCATTCTGGACAACAGTTACTTACCTGAACTTGCTGGAGGGAACTAAAACGCCCCCAGCTAACTAGTGCTGCTGCTTTTCCCTCCTGAGTGGTCCAGATGTCAGCGACCAACTTTGCCATTGTCTCTGAGGAAGCTGTGTGAAGCTGCTGGAGTCTGGCCTCAATGACATCCCTCCTGTTCTCATAGAAGCTGTCAGTGTATAAATCCAGGGGGAATGTCTGTATAAAAAGGTAAACACAGCTCTGAGGAGCTGCCAACAAAGCAGTGATTCCAAGAATGACAATGCCCAACTTCATATATTTCTTATCTCAACCAAAAATTCACTCAAACACTGAGTTGATTTAACTTCAACATGTCCACTGCATAAACCTTTATTAAATAGGAAAATATTTGCCTATATTTTAACACCCAATGCCAGTGCAGCAAACACTGGCCACATCTTAGCCTGTGCTCTGTTGGTTTTTGACCTCTAGACAGAGGTTTCCTTTAACAGGCAACAAAGAGCTATCCGCTCTCCTAACTCTCCAAGCAGGAATATTCTAGTCAGGTTTTGGAATCAGTATCAAGACTCGTCAGCTACAGTGATGGGAGATGGGAAGAACAAAACAGTGATGAAACTGGGGAGCATCACTCAAGCCACCTAAAAGCAAAGACCCTTATGCATAGCACTGAACACATCACTGTGTAAAGTCACTGAAGCAATTAGTCAATTTTGAACACAGCTGAAAAAGGCTAGCAAGTAGTAGCTGAGTGCCATTCTAGCTTTTCAAAATCAAACGCAGAGCACTTAGAAAAATGGCCAATTTCAGCCTTACACAAACTGCTGCCACAGCTAATCCCACAAAAATACAGCCTAGGAATGACTGACAGAATTGGGTGCGAGCTTTCAGCTCATCCTTGTTCATGCCTGAGGCTCATGATAGCTTTGCTCTGCATTAATAAGTAAAATCTAGTTTAAAAAAAAATATATTTGCAATTGAGCTGTAAATACTGGGCTTGTTATAAAGATATAAACATACAAGGGCTTTTTTTGGTTTGTGTTTTTTTTTTTTTCCAAGTAGGCGTAGTCTGCATATAAGATTATACAGAAGGACATGTATTTAGAAAGGCAAGATCTACAGTAAATGGTAGTTTGCACTGGCAAAGAATACTTGCTTTTAACACATGACATTCATACAGTTATGGCATCGTACAAGAATAGCAGATACTCCACAAGAAGAGTTATTTGTATGAATTCCATTTACCAGTATTTGTACGGCCCTTGGAGCTACAGCAGTCCCCTTCCTGTCCTGTCTATGACCCTGCAAGTGCCTTCATGTCCCAGCTCAACATTCCAAAGCAAGGACAACCATATCTCAGTTCTTTCTGCAAACAGTATTCAACTCTAAATTTATTTGGTCAGATGAATACAAGAATCAAGTAGTAAAAGACATTCCAAAGAATAACCATTACTCTGTAGTAATTTGCCTCTTTTCATCATTGAGTAGCTCTCCAAGGATGTGACCAAAAACATACTTATAATCAAGTGCTTGTGGCTTAAGAAATTATTTGAAGACATGACTGTATACAGACTCATAAACCATGTCAACATAAAATAAAAAACCAGGTTAAATCAGGTGGGACAGAGAGTGACTCATGTATTCATAGTTTTGAGTTTAGTCCTATTGGCCTAATAAAATAATTGTGCTGTTTGATTCTCTAGGTTTTTATGTCCTTTGCTTAAGGGACTATGTAAGGATGGCCTTGAGGGAATGTATCTCCCTCTCCACCAATTAAAAAGAGGTATTTGCAGTGATCACTAATTAGGGAGACAGCCATGTCCAAAACCACCAGGCGGTTTTCGACCCATCCACCAGGATTTCTACTTCATACTGGCGAAGAAAAGGTTGGGGGGGGGGAAAGACAAGAAAAACCTGCATGTTTCAAAGGAAACTTTGACCACTGAGTTCAGATATAGCCTGCATTTAGCCAGATGAATCCCACCCTATCTGACAGTCAAGCCAGACTTACATAGCAATCAGTTACTGAGGAGCCCTTTAGTAACAAGCCCAATATAACAAATAATAAAACCAAGCAAACACCAAGATCTGTCTAGAAAGTCCCTCAGAATAAAATGTTAATCTCATCCCAAACAAGATTTTTAACACGGTTACAGAGTCTACAGCAATGGGTAAAGAAATTAACTAAAGAAAGCCTTTCAAAACTACCTGATAGGAATTTCTGAAAACGTCGGGTATGTCATCCATGAAAATGATATCCCACATTAGAATACCATACAGCGTAATAAAGGTTGAGCCTTCCCCATGAATACCTAAAGGGCAAAATATAATAAAAATGGAAACATTAATTTCTACAGCAATCTTATATGAAGAGGTACTACATCATCACGATCCAAACCAGAAACATGCTATGTTCAGGTTTATACACACCTGAAGTCAGTATATGTTAACATTACAGCATCAAGTCGTAAATGCAGTTTATTACTTCCACAATTTGCTAGTGCTTTCTATTTCCAGGCTAGTGGCCTTCATTTACAGCATGGCATTAAATTCCTATGCCCTGTCACAAATAAGGTTTACTGTTCTAACTTTAACAATTTTTAATACACAAAATGTTTTTTTTTTACACTAAAAAAGTAATAGATCAATAACAAAATGGTTTTTATATATATAAATGTTTTATATTATACACACACATACATGTATACATACATATACGTATACGGAGCTATACGTATATATATGTATACACATACATGCTGCAAAAAGCACTCACCACCAGCAGACCAAAGCCCAGCCAGTATACTAAAGATGTAACACAGTAATACAACGTTTGTAGATACAAAAATGTTTTCTATTGCATTTACATCTACATACACGTACATGTATACCTATATGTGTATGTATACATGTACATATATACACATATACATACACATGTACATATATGTGTAATATAAACCATTTTTATATATATAAACATTTTGTT